TGCTCTGGGTGATGTTCCCAGTGACACTGGGACTGCTCCAGAGCTCCCAGTGACACTCCCAGTGACACTCCCAGTGACACTCCCAGTGACACTGGGACTGCTCCAGGGGTGCTGGGCAGCCTTTGGAACAGGAGCTGGGGTTTTGAAGGATCTGCTGCCCCCGGGCCGGGCTCACCCGTGCAAACCTCGGCTTTCCTTTTGTGCTGTAAATAATTAGAACCGAACTTTCATTATAAATAAATGTATAAATATTCGGCTCCCTGGGTGTGTTTGTTCGGGTGAGGGTTGGAGCCCGTGGGGCTGAGGGTGGGAGGGGAGCTTGGGGACTGGGGGGGCCTGAGGTGACCCCCAGGGCTGGGGTGGGAACCCTGGTCAGGGGGACCCCATAACTGGGGGTGGGAGAGTTGTGGGGCTGTGGGAAGTTCTGTAGCTGGGGAGGGGATGTCGGGCTGGAGGGAACTGTAGGGCTGGGGGGATCATGGGGCTGGGGGAGCCCCTGTGTCTAGGAGGAGGTTTGGGGGTCTGGAGCTGCAGGGCTGGGAGGGGACCCGGTCTGGGGAAGAGGGGGGAGGCTGTGGTGGGGGGGGGGGGGGGGAATTGGGCTGGGGGCAGCCCCCTGGGCTGGGAGGGGGTCCCGGGGTTGGAGGGGGAGCCCAGGGGTGGGAGGGAAGCTGAAGGAGCCCCCCGGAGCTGGGGGGAGCCACAGGGCTGGGGGAGATGGCTGTGGGGCTGGGGGAGATGGCTGTGGGGCTGGGGGAGATGGATGGGGGGCTGGGGGGACATGGCTGTGGGGCTGGGGGAGATGGATATGGGGCTGGGGGGAGATGGATGGGGGGCTGGGGGAGATGGACGTGGGGCTGGGGGACATGGCTGTGGGGCTGGGGGCAGCCTCCTGGGGCAGCCCCCTCGTGTCGGTTACGGGGGTGCCCCGGGGGGGACCCCGATTCTCCCGGTTCTGTCCCCGCCGACCGCCCCCTCGGTTACGGGGGGTCCCGGTTGTGTCCCCGCCGTGTCCCCTCAGAGCCGCCCCTGGATTACGGGGGGTCCCGATGGGGGTCCCGGTTGGGTTCCCGGTGGGGTCCCGGTTGTGTCCCCGCCGTGTCCCCTCAGAGCCGCCGTCGCGCCCCGCCCGCCGCTCGCGCAGCCCGGGGCGGGTCCGGGAGGAGCCGCCGCCATTTCGGTGCCTGAGCGAGCGGGGCCGGGAAAACCAAGGGGGGGGAAACCGCGGAAAACTCGGGGAAAAAGCGGGGGGAAAACCGGGGGAAGGGAGGGAGGGAGGGGTGGGGGGCGATGGACTCCGGAGCCCGCCCGGGCGGCGGCGGCGGCCCCGGCGCGGGGCAGAACCGCGAGTACAAACTGGTGATGCTCGGGGCGGGCGGCGTCGGCAAGAGCGGTGAGTGCCGGGGGGGACCCGGGGGGCTCAGCTCGGCCCGGGGGCATCAGCTTGAGGGGCTCGGCTCGGGGGGCTCGGCCCGGGAGGCTCAGCTCGGGGGGCTCAGCTCAGGGGCCTCAGCTCGGGATCTCGGCTCTGGGGGCTCAACTCGTGGGTCTCGCTCGGCCCGGAGGGCTCAGCTCGGCCCGGGGGGCTCAGCTCGAGGGACTCGTTCGGGGGGCTCAGCTCGGCTCGGGGGTCTCAGCTCGGGGGTCC